TTTTCAGAAAGCTGATGGTATTGCATGCCCCCAGGAGCTATACAAACTTGGTAACAGCACTGAGCCTCACAAAAACCTATGAAAGGATATTGTGGCAGTTTTTGCTAAAGTTTCCCAAACTTTTAGTGAGATACCACAAGGTGATATCTTAAATGTAATTCGCAATACTGCCTGCATTTTTTTGTTTGTTTGTAATAGACTGGAAAGAAAAAAATGCCTCTGTGTTCCTTATGTTTGTGGAGAGCTGTTTGTCTTCATTGTGGTTCTTTACAAGTAGTGCTTACATATTTTGTAGTTTGATATGGTAACTTTCTGTTCTTCAGTCTTTTTACTGATGTAAAAGTATGTGAGCTTACCTGTCAGTAATGAAAGAATAAATTAATTGGTGAATGTCAAAACATCCTGGTTTCCTCTTTGTTTTGATTAGATAGCTATTTGACCTCGTCCATTAGATCAAGGATGTCCTGTTGCCTAAACTAGACAAGTGAGAAAGCTACTGTTCCTCAAATTATAAAGTAATCTTTTAGGCAATGTTAGACATTTTTATTGGACTTTTTTTGCTACAGTAAAAGTAAAACCAACTATCCACCTCTCCTTTTTTTTTTCTCCCAAAATAAGCTTCCTTGATTTACAACAGTACAATGTTACCTCTACATGATTAAAAATAATGGATAAAAATATATTTCCTCTTGGAGTAGGCAGAAATGGCCTTTTAAGTATTTTTGGTAGAAACTAAGCATTCTACATCTGGCTTGTGAATTCTACATCTGCTTTGAAATGTTTTAAGATCACAGAGATCAGAGTAGAGAAGGCTTATTTGTTTGCACAACGTGTATTGAAGTTTTTCTTTAGTTTATTATAAGACAATGACTTCTGGTCTCTTGATAAACCTGGTATCCTGGCTTTATTTTTTGGTTAAAATACTAATTGGATTGCAGCTTTTACCAAGAAAGCAAGAGTTTTTCTGTTTGGAGAGCTTTTAATCAGCCATAATCATGTGTCATGCTTTTATTATGCATTACAGTCATATGCCGGTTTCTGAACCCTTCTCTGTCTTTTGCTGAACTGAGGCTAAGCTCTTTGTCATCATATTGCTTCTATATACTCTTGCTGAGATACCCTGTTTTCTTCCATGTCTATTTTTAGCTTTTTCAGACTCTTACTTTTGGGATGGAGTTGGGTGTTTTGTTTTCAATTACAGAGCTCCCGCTAACTTAAAACTTCCTTAGTATGGATATAAAAATTCAGAGTTTACTTGGTGAAGCTACAAGCAGATGGGCTGTCATACAATATTCTATGTTGTACGTTTTATTCATTTTTACCTCTTAGCAAGTCATTCTTCTCACCTCACTGGTGATGTTTCTTATGGAAAAGTATTTAGCTTTGATTTGATTAATCTAAAGGTGGATTCTTTACCTTTTCTCTTATCAACTTGTTCTAATAGTTAATGATTGTAATTGGTTTGGGTTGTGATCTACTTTGATATTTTTTTTTTGTCTTGCATTTAATTCTAACTGTTACCTTTAAGCAAAAGGTGCTGCAACAGCACAAGTGCTCTCTGGCAACACACACTTTTCTATCCTCATGAATTTTTCTGGATATTTCATATTTGACTGAACCTCTGCACATAGATTGATTTCAGCAGCGCTGTATATAGAAGTATCATGAATTTTTTGCTTAACCGAAGACCATGTGACTGTGTCGATAATACCGCTTGCCCTGCTTGTTATGGGTGGTTCCTAGATGTTTTTTTCTGGAGTTACCATTTCTAGGGTGAGTTGTAGACCTGTGCTGGTTAACTTGACTATCCATCGTAGTCTGTGTTACTACACATTGTTTGAAGTGTGTGCTGTATTTGGGCTTAGTTTATTTCTTGATCTATTAACATTTCTGTTTGTTATTAATTGGATCTGGATCTTTTTTGAGCTTCCCGTTATGTTTCTCACAATTAATGTCAAGCTGTTTGGTTTGGCCCTTAATGCTGGTTGAGCATTAGAGCTTCTGTACTCTTTTTACATATCCTTAATTCCAAGGCCTAATGAAAACTAACATCAGTGAGCTGCATCTCTTTGTAGCCAGCTCACTGGGTCTCACAGTGCAAAATTATCTAGGGTTGCTGGTTTTCTTGTATTGTGTATTAACCTTCTTGGTTAGAAGTTGTCTGTAGAAGTATTCAGAAGATTGAACTCCTTGGTGTGTGAGAGGAAGCTTTTCTATAGATAACTGCTACTTCCAGTATCTCCTGCCTTCTTATCACAGAACTGTAGAATGTGTTAGGTTGGAAGGGACTTCTAGACATCATCTAGTCCAACCCCCCCTGCAGTGGCAGGGACATTTTTGACTAGATCGGGTTGTGCAGAGCCCCATCCAGCCTGACATTGTCTCCAGGGATGGAACCTCCACCACCTCTCTGGGCAACCTGTTTCAGTGTTTCCCGACCCTCACCATAAAGAACTTCTTCCTAATGTCTAATCTAAAACTACTCTGCTCTATTTTAAAACCATTCGCTCTCGTCCTGTTGCTACATGCCCTTGGAAACAGTCCCTCCTCAGCTTTTCTGTAGCCCCCTTCAGGTAAGGTCTCCATGGAGCCTTCTCTTCTTCAGGCTGAACAACCCCACGATGATGATATTATTCATCAAATGATGATGATGTTTTGATGATGTTATTCATTAAACTGAAATGACCTTATGCTTGGGGCTTGCTGCTTCAGTTCTCATCTAAGAAATGTGTGATGCTGTTGTCCCCCTGGGTATGCCCATCAGCAGTTTGCCTGGGGACTTCTTAATACTTCTAAGTAGAGCTTTTAAAATAAAGAATCAGAAATCATGTCTTCTAGCTACTGTTTTGATACTGTTCTCTGTAGGCACAAAAAATGTGTGTGTGCACATGATATCCATTAAGTGTTTGTCTTCCATCTTTTCTTTCATTTCTTCAAAGGCTGTTTTTTGGGAAGTTGAATAACCAAATGGCAGGTGAAAGATTCAGTACAGCAAACTTGATTGAACATGTGTTCTTCTTGCCCTCTGGATAGTAACTGGTAGTTAGTCTTCCCTCTGTTCTCTGTTATTTCAGTTTAAACATCAACTTTTTACCTAAATGCACACCTTTTAAATTCTAACATTAAATTTTCTCTAGTCAGGCCTTTTTAAATTCTTTAAGTTACTTATTTCAGTGTGAGGTGAGCTCTCTACAGAAATCTCCTAAAGAGATGGATCTGTACTGGTGTGAGCAGCATTAAGCACTGCTGTCTGCCTTGCTCAGGGCTACGCTGAAAAAAAAAAGAGCGAAGAACTTAGCGGTGAATGAAACTGCCTTCAGAATAATCTTTAATGTGTTGTGTATCTGAAAGATTGAGGTTATGGGCAAGTTCAGGTGTGGCTGTTTTGGGGGTTGAATGTGTGCTAAAAATGGTGCCTGTGAGATGTGGGCAAGGCTGGGTAAAGTGATCACAAGAGTGGAAATGATTTATTTGGTTTCCTACTGCCTGTGCACATCAACAGTGCTAAAGTTGCCAAAGCAGTTGGATGTTTTAGGAAGTATTTGCTATTTTGTTAGAGGTGATGTATGAGTGCTGTTAAAGACACTGTGGTGCTTTTTCAAGACAGCAGGACGTTGTCTGTCTCGGTCTAATTTGGGTTGGCTGTTTGTACTCTGCCAGTTGCTGAAGAACACAAGCCAAAGAAGAGACCCTCTGTGGGAAATGCTGAAGCTTACCTAAATAAAATACTGCCAAATTATGATGAGGAAAAAAAGGTTTTGTCCAGAACCATTCCTTTAAACCTTTGAAAAGGGAAAGTATTTCTGGAGTGAGATGAGAGGATCATTGGGAAGAAAAACTGAAATCTTGGGAGCAAGCACTTTTCAGTGCCCTACTTTTCACTTGGAAAAGCAAAAAGGAAGATTCTTTGTGAATGTGACTGGAGGAGTAGGTACTTTTAGGTGTACGGTTTAGTTCCAGTATTGCTACTGGTTAATTATTTACGAGTAACATCTGCTTTCCTAGAATTGATTTTGTGTTAATGAAGAGTAGGAGACACTGCATACAATGAAGTAAAATTTCACAGTTATAGCTGTGAATTTCTCTCATTCTCTTTTTCTTGGTTCATTTGTTGGAGGTTGAGCAAGGAAGAAACTTCTGTTCTAGACTCAGCTGTAAAGGTTATAGGAATTTATATCATGTTGAAGTGAATGCTAAACAAATTTTGTAAAGTCGAAACTTCATTTCATTGCTTGTAGATGTGCATTCACTGATTCTGTGAGTCTTTTTCTTTTCATTTTGCACTTATTTGCTGTGAGTTGACTAAGCTTGGCCTTTCCTGGACTATACCAAGTGCTGCTCTAGGGATGTTATTCTCGATAGGCATAGGCTATGCCTAGAGCTTTGTTATTTTTATAGTTGCAAAACCATATGGAAGCATGTGGCGTAGGATAGGATTGTCTCAGCATCCTTTCCAGTTAACATACAAAATTATTGATTTAATGGAACTTTTAAGTTTCAAGAACTTGCCAGACAAAAAAAAATCTGATATTATATAGGAGGAAGATCTTTTAAAAAGTGGTATTTTTAGGTCTGCAAGACTTGTTCTCAGGTCTTATTTTCCCTCACATTTATCTTTCTATTGTTACTTTATTTCAGCTTGTTTCTACATCTGCCTGACTTCTCACTTCCTTTCTCTTTCTCTGCTCCTTTCCCTTCTTCAGTTTTGTTTCGCAAATATTTTCTCAGGGATGTGATACTTACTCCCTGTTAAATGAATCATTTTTTTTTCTGTTTGTAGCTTTCCCTTTGTTTGTGTGGCTGCGTGCGCTCAGCAGCAGTTAGTATGTGATGTCCTGTGAGTACAGGTAGTCTGTATACGGCTGTTTGTGTAATGACCAGAAGAGCACATCTCTTTCTCTTATAATCATTAGACACTACTCTTGCGAGAGTGTTTAAATGGTCACTGTTTACTTTTGAAGTCTTCTCTCACACTCATTATCCTCGTGTTCTTCTTTTAGAAAGAAAGAGCTTTCAACTACCAAGAAAGATCGAGTGAATCATTGCCTAACAATATGTGAAAACATAGTTGCTCAGTCTTTAAGGTAAGACGATGTCTTTAACTTATCGCATTAATATGAGTAGCTACTTTGGAGTGTTAGTTATTTGGAAGCTTCCTGAAAACTGCTGATTTTGAATTGTCAAATTCTGTTTGAAATGGAACATTTTTAATTTTATTTTTTTTTTTTACAAAACTAAATTTTAAGAATTCATTTTGTTTAGTATGCGTTGATAGAGTAGTTGTTATTCTTCTACCTCAGACAGAGAAACTGAGGTGCAGAGGTCACACCTTGCTAGATTATGTAGGAAGGGGCGGGGAAATGATCTCCCAACTCCTGAAGAAGTGTTTTAATCTGCTGAATGTCTTCTTCTGTATAACTGTGTACAAAGTATGTGTAGCTGAATTGTGAAATCCCCTCAAAAATATCGTTGGTGTTTGATTTTCATAGTGCACATTGTAATTTTCTGACATTTGTTTATTTAGAAATTCTCCAGAATTTCAGAAACTGCTGGGCATTGCTATGGAACTCTTTCTCCTCTGCAGTGATGATGCAGAATCTGATGTCCGGATGGTTGCTGATGAATGCCTTAATAAAGTTATTAAAGTAAGAACTTCTATATACTGTACTACCAGATTTTACTACTTCTTGATGCGGTGACCTGTTGAATTCACATTGATGTTCTTTGAATTGCTTTTCTTATTGTTAGTAATGTAATGAAAGAGGTTAAGTAAGCTTTTTTAATAAATTCTCTATGTGCTGTCAGAAGAGCTTTTTATGCTCAGATCTGGTCTTTGTCATTCATTATTCTAACCTGTTTTCTGCAGTTCATTAACTTCCTTCTTTTCATTTTAACCAAAACAAGACCATGACCTCTTTGAAAATTATCTTGTATATGAGGAGTAGTCTTGTTACTGTTGTGTAAACATAAAGATACTCAACATGAGGAAGATGAAAAATATTGTTAAAAAACTAATTGAAGGATATAGTGGCTTTTCATTCCAAACTAGTAGTGTGGTGAAATTCAGGTTGTGTGATTGGCTGAGACTTGGAGAAGCTTTTAGGCAATAGTTAGGATAAATATGGTGTTCTGGAGATTGTTTATTACACCACTGTCATCCAAAATGTGGGACTTGTTGGGGAACAGCAGGTGAACATTCAGATGAGGTCAGGCAAGGTCTAAATCTTTATTCACAGTATCTTAAAATGAACCTTTGAGTAACTGAAGGGAGCTAATGCTTCCTGGACAAGTTTACTCTCACCTGCCCTTTCTGCTTCTGTTTGTTTCTTTTTTTTTCTTTTCTGTTTTCTGAAATACTTGACCTTTGAGTCAATGTAATGTGCTGCATAATTAATGTGTTTGATGCAAAGTTTAAGTGCTTTAGAAAAATGCAAATACTGACTTTCTTTAGCATGGAGGGCTGTGAAGAAACAAGCAAACAAAATATCTCTTTTTGTACAGTTTTCTTAGTTAAGTTCTGTTTGTTCATTATCAGAACGATTTAAGTTTTGGGGTTGAGCTTCTGGCTGAAAATTGTGTGGAGGAAGCTTACTGGTAACCTGGTGTGTTTGATAAGGACAGGGAATGAGGAAATGAAAGTGTCTTTTTTTTTTTTTTTTTTTTTTTACCCTGTAGCGTTTTGTTCTGTTTATTCTAATTTAAATATTTTTTGCATTTCCAGGAGTTTAGCACACCATTATGTAACTTAAATTTGCTTTAAAAGGTGCTCTGAAACTGTTCTAAAGAATATAAATTTCCTTCATTCCACTATATTCTACTGTATGTTCAGTATAAAATAGAGCTCTTTAATTCACTGTTCTGTTTAATATTGTTGCTTTCTGGTGTGTTTCAAGGTAACTTGAAAAATTTTTTTTTTTCGAATCTTTGCATGGTAGCTTGTTTTAAACAGCTTTCCAGTTGGTAACAGCTGTGAAATGATAATAGTTGTGATATTCCAACCACATGGATTTATCAAACTGTTAGTGAAGCTCGTCATGATTTGTTTTCTGTTTTTATTTTTTTATGCTGTGTGGAAGCAACTTAGATATTAGGCAGATACTCCCTTCTGTATGAATGAAGTGAGAAAAAGATGTGCAGTTTTATTTTTGGTCATACAAGTAGTGATGCTTATGATGAGGGGAACAGAGGTGCTGGGCCCCTAAGCTGGCGTATTATTCAGCGTTCAGCTTTTGTAGTCCCTCAGGCATTTTAGAGACTAATTCTTTTGCTAGAAAGATGCTTTATATTTTCTATCTTTTGATACAAGAATACAGATGTATGCATTACTTGTGTAACTATGTGTCTGTCTGGAGTTTATGCTCGGTAATGTAATTAAAATACCAACACTTCTGTGTAAACAGGACTGTAAACTGAAACAGTAAATAAGTTTAGATAAATGCTCTCTAGGTTGTCTTTTTAAGTATCACTACACTGGTCAGAACCTCACAGATAGCATATATGGTTTGAAGTTTAATTAGCTTTGGTGATAATTTTATTTAAAAGGAAAAATACCAAGTTGAGGTTTACCAGATTGCTGTGCGTAAGGTGCTCCTGACGCTGGTGTAGGATGTCGTAGTGTTCTGACTGCTGATGGCAGTGGTGGGACTGTTCAGATCAGAGTACAGTTGGTGTCAGCAAGTGAGGTTTATTTTTTTCTGATTGGGATGACTTTTTAGATTCTAGCCTGCTAAACATAGAGGTATATGCTAGTAAAAAGAGTTTAATCCTGTTAAGCGTATTGTAAGGACAATTTGTACGTGAAGCCAAATAGTAGCTTTTGGTGTTGCTTGATATCCTTATGTACAGGGACAGTGAACTTGCCATAAAAGCTGTTTTGTGAACTAAGTGGGGTTTGTCTCTACCTGTTGTCATCTAGACACCTGCAGTTAATGGTTGGGGTGCTTATGACAGCAGAAGGGTCATTTTATTGTAATGACTGGTGTAATTGGGGGGAATAAAGTTTTGGGACGTACAGTTTTAGGCTGGGGAACTATGCTCTGGAGCAGCCATGGACACTTCACTGACTGTGCTTAAGCATTGTGCCCTCTCCATCAGCATGTGCTGTGTCAGATTTTGTAATCACCATGAGTAATCCTGAGAAGATGTGAGCCTGATGATTGGTGGTCAAGAAAGCAGATAAAATTTTAGAAGTTATTAAATTATTGGGCAAGGAATAAAGAATGAAATACTAAATGTTACAGCCTTGTATAAATCCCCAGTGTAGGCACTTGCACATTGTGTGAAGCTCTCACTGAATCTGAGAAAATGCTGGTGGGAATGTTTGTAAATAGTAGTACGTACTTGGAAAAAAACAGAGGAGGTAATCATGTGTACACAAGGTGCTCTGTAGGAAGAGATTATAAGTAGTAGGACTATTTTCCTTTTTTTTTTTTGCTGTTTTAAAAATGGAGGGGGAGTGATGGAGTTGAGTCCTTTTCAACAGCAAATGACTACTTCTTGGTCCTTACTTTCATTTCATGTACCCTAGTTCTTAGCCAGACTGCGGGTTCAAACTACAGCGTCTGCTCTGTCGCAGTATGTTTGATTAGATCCTGGCACGTGATACTTCTGTGTCCAGAACACCTTGTAGTAAATGGGTACTGAAAATAGGCTGATTTTGAAAGAAGGATTTTTCAAGGGCTCTTAAAGGTAATGGTACAAATACAGCCTCAGTTTGAGAGAGTAGGAGGCTACTTGATGGTGGATGGGAGTGTATAGCAGGGAATACTCTTGCTGCTCGTGAATACTATTTTTGTGTTTTAATATTCTATTCATGTCTATTCCTGGCGATTGCCTGAAAGCATGTTAGGTTGGCTCTGCTTGGAGTCTGATACCATATGGCCTTTTTTAGGTAGAATGGGTAAAGCAGTCAATACTAACTGCAAATAACTCCTTGAATTTGTGATATTTACACATGTTTCTGTTTTATTTCTTTGTGAAAGACAAAGGTGTGTCTCTTCAATATTTAGTGCTTTCCTGTTTATACAGGGGCAGTTAGATAGTCCTGTGCCATGTTTGAAGCTGTTTATTGGAAGCACAGTGTTGTTTCTGTAAAGTGCCTCACCTCTCATACAGTGCATTGTCACTGTGTTTTATTGCAGGCTTTGATGGATTCCAATCTTCCTAGACTACAATTAGAACTGTATAAGGAGATTAAAAAGGTGAGTTTCTTTCCTGTCCTTTTGAAATATGGTATTTAGTAAGTGGTTTAGTATATTGGAGTGTGGCATTAAGGTAAATAAATAGGGAGTGACTTAAGATCAAAGGCAACACTTGATTTTGGAGGGATTTGTGACTCTTTGAAGTATTATTCTACCCGGTTCCTCACCATTGGCCCCATTGCTGAGATTTAAGCACTGCTGAAATCTTATCTGGCAGCAAATGTGTGAGCATTTGGTGTGAGCAGCTGTCTGAGTTAACCTTAGTGACTCTGCACCCAAGCGAATGAGGCGTATTCATGGTGTTTGCTCCACTGACTGGGCTGGAAAGTGTAACTTCAAGCCAAAGCCATAGGGTGGTGAAAAGTAGGTGGAGGACAGTGACAGTCTTAATTTGACATAATTTCTTGGAGGAATCATTTGATCAAGACCTGAAGTGACCTTATACAAGCTTTAGCTATTTTGTGAACGTGTGATGTGTACTTCCCTTGACTTCTTTTAGGAGCTCTAAAAATACTGAAGCATCTCTCTTTGCACCAAAAGTGACAATCTCATTATGGCCACAGGAGAAATTTTAGTAATAGCCATGTTCAAGTCTATGACTGCAAAAGAAAAATGCTGTGTTCAGGACAATATCACTGAAATCATGTCTCTTGCATCTATCAACTACTCTCTGTGCAAAGCTTGCATAGAGAGTAAATATGGGGGTTATCTGTCAGACAGTAATACTATTACTTTTGGTTATGTTTCTTTGGGAATGGTAGAACTCTAAAAAATAAATAACAAAAGCAATGTGGGTAGCTTTTCTTCTGTCAGATGTGAACTACCTGTAGGCCCAGTATGGATATCTTACTGTATGGTTGTACCTTAATGTCATGGAGGATTTTTGAGGGTATAGAAATTTATGCCTTGTTAATTAACAAAACCCAAACAACACAGAGAAAAATTGCTCTCAAGTTTCTGCGTGTTATGACCAGGTGCAGGAGGAAATATTTTGTTGTGCCGGTAGCATGTGTTGCTTGAATAGTTGCTCTTGGATTTGTGGCAGAGGCAAGAGAGAGAAATAGCAGAAATAACAGAAGTACCCAGCAGACTGAATTTTGTTTATGCATCAGTCGGATCACTGTAGGAGCTGTGCCAGAATCTCTTGTTTGGCTCTGAACCTGAAAAATGCACATTTTGTAATTCAGATATTTTTTTTATAACTTGTGCTAACAAGACCTTGAGCTTTTGATATCCTAGCTATAGAAAATAAGAAAGAAATGACTGTTTCTAAACATCTCAGCTCTGTCTTCAGAGTGACTTGATTTGAGAAGCATTTTGTTTAGCTTTGAACTATGGTAGGTGCATGGTTTCTCCTAGACTTAGATAGTTTTCTGTATTTTCAACAACACTGAGTAGCTTTATACTTAGACTATAGGTCTAAAGGCATTCTGGCTCAAGTCAGGAGCACAACTGAAGGTGTCAATATAGACAAACAGGTACAAAGCTTGAGGGTGCAAGCCATTATTAAGTGACACAGATCCGGGAGATTGGATTAGATGATCTCTAAGGTCCCTTCCAACCTAAGACATTCTATGTTTTTTTTTGTTTGGTGCACTCAGGACCTGAACATTATTTATTTGCATATCTCCACTGCTGCCAGTTTTATGCTGCATTTACATCTCTGCAAGCATTCCAGTGATTTTTAGACTCTCATATCATCAGTGATTCTTTGTTGGTCGATGCCTTTCTCTGTGGTATTTTAAGCTGATTTCAGCAGAGTGGAGATCTCAGCCATTTCCTTCTTTTTCTTCGTGTTCCTTATTATTCATTTTGGGTCATGTGGAAAATTCCTAATACCAGCTAGAAAAATGAAGACAGTCATGGAGCTGCCTTGACTTCCTTTTGGCTAAAGGAAGTTTATGGCTTCTAGACACCTTACATTTTCATCTGTTTAAGTAAAATGGTATAAAACTGCATATTATCACATATTATAGGTATTTTTTAGGAAATGAATTTGCTTGATGAAATGTAACAAATATATGTATTTTATTTAGAATGGTGCTTCAAGAAGTCTGCGTGCTGCACTCTGGAGATTTGCTGAGCTCGCCCATCTGGTTCGGCCTCAAAAGTGCAGGTAAGACGTGTGCTAGTAATGAACTTCCCCAAGAGACAGAGATGTTTACAAAATGTTACTCTTCTCAAGTATCAGATATATAATTGGGAGGTTGAGAGAGTTCCTATCATATTATTTTCTCTGAAATAGCTTTGTTTGATTAGTTGCTTTTCTTCTAGTGGAGTTTTAGTTCTGTGTAATATGTGATTGGGCAAAGCAGGGGGAAGCTTGTGAAGACAGTGCCTTGGAGTTTTTTTCTGTTCTATCTCTTAGTGTTTTGTATAAAGTGTACTCTTTAGTTCTAACTTAACGCCTGTAAATTGTTTTCAGAAGGCTTTTCTTTCTCCCTACATTCTATGTAGCTAACAGGTACTTTTTTATGATTTCATAATATCACATAATTTGGGTATAAAGTAAAAATCTTTAGATGGGTACAGTTCTGATCTCAAATTGGTTTTTCTTCTTTGCTGTACTTAGGCCGTACTTAGTGAACCTTTTGCCCTGCCTAACACGAATAAGTAAGAGACCTGAAGAATCAGTCCAAGAGACACTGGCTGCAGCAATACCAAAAATCATGGCAGCGTTTGGCAATTTTGCAAACGACAACGAGATTAAGGTATCTTTCTTTAACCCAGTAGTGCTGCTCCCTGTTCTATCTCCAAGCACAGCAGGCGATCGGCATTACCTGTCCCATGTTACAGAAAGCGCCTGTAGGTCTGAATTAAGGCAGAAGTTGCACTTGCTTTGATGTACATTAAGTAATGCTTTGAATGGATGAAAAATACATTTGCTGACTTAATTCACTTGTTTCCTTTCTAATAAAAGGTTAAGTAAGACTTCTTTGGTTTTAGGTTTTACTGAAGGCTTTTATAGCTAATCTGAAATCCAGTTCCCCTACCATCCGTCGGACAGCGGCTGGATCAGCAGTAAGCATCTGTCAGCATTCCCGAAGGACGCAGTATTTTTATGCCTGGTTATTGAATGTACTTTTAGGTAAGACTCAGGAAAAAAGATTTTCTTTAGGTATAAGTAAAATGATTTTTTTTTTTCTCCCGTTAAGACATTTTTCACATGTGAGAGGTTTTTGGGCAAAACAAAGATACTTAGACTACCACTTACACTGCTCGTGCTTTCTCTGTTTTGCCTTAAGATATGACTAGATCTTAACTATACCTCTCTGTGTGCTGCAATGCTGATTTGGTAATGTTAAAAAGAAACAGCCAAAGCTAGGGAAGGAAGTAGCCTGTTAGAAAATGAGTTCTGTAGATTCTGGAGGGACAACTTGCTCAGGAATCTGAAGACTTGCATCGTTCAGAGGCTTTGTTGTTAGTGCAGCAGGTCTGAGGTGGAGGCTATGATTGCTATTCCCTGCATCGTGAACACATACCTGCAACCTTTTTTTATAGAATCTTTATAGATTCTTTGCTGAAAACCTAACTTAGACCAGAAATGGAATTTTTTAATTTAAAAGAACACAACTTTATGCCAGGTGTTGCTTGCAGATTTCTTCAGCTGGAAAGTTTGCGTGATCTTTGGGGTGTTTTGCAACTCATGATGAGACGCTTGGCTGGTCTGTAGTGGAAACTTTTGCCTCAGTTTTGTTACTGATGAGGGGTCCTTTACTTTGTAGATTGTGTTGCAAGAGAAGAGGTAAGGAAGGCCAACAGATACTTAAAGCATTTATCATGTTAGCCTTGCTTCTTTTAACAACAGATGAAAAAGTGAACTGCAATGTAGTGACTGTCTTCACTGTATGACCCGAAAATGCTGTACTTCTGTGCAGGTGTTGTTCTTTCCTGCCTCAAAGGTGATGTTTTATAATTATAATGTCCTGGCAATTGTACTGAGCTCAGGCAGGAACACTAACAAGAACTCCATGAATTGATTCTGATTTTTTTTTCTTTCTGCCCTGAAATAGAAGGTTGTATTTTCTTACATAGCTTATACTTGTTCGTAACATATTTGAGGGTTAATTCTGGGAGTAGTGTGTAGATGTATGGAACAAGGTTCTCAGCACTTGAGGGAGGAGGCCAAAATGTAAATGTCATGCATTAGGATAGTAGCACGTTGTGTGTGTCCAAGGGAATTATGTCTTGCCTTAATTAAGCTGCCAAATGGAGAGAGGAGGCACGTGAGGGGAGCAAGAGAGTCTAGATCCCAGGTATGAAAAAGAGGGTTTTTTCCTGTTTTTATTGAGTGAAAAGAGGTAGGGAACAGGAAAGGTGAACAGGTCAGGGTCCTCTGACCATTCTCCCACATTGCTTAAATCGTTGTCAGGATTATTACATAATGCATATTTTCAAGAGTTTCTACACTTAGCAGTAACTTAATAATGCTTTCTGTGTTTTATTCCTTTGTTGGGTTTTGTACTGTTTTAAAGATGCTGTTACAGGGAGTACCTGAAATAAGATTTGTGTTGGAACTAACCTCTGTCAGTAAGTGATTTGGTTCTTGCTTTTCTACCTCCAGGCTTCTTGGTTCCTGTAGAAGATGATCATCCTACTCTCTTAATTCTGGGTGTTTTACTTACACTAAGGTATCTCATACCTTTATTACAACAACAAGTAAAGGATACCAGCCTGAAAGGCAGTTTTGGCGTCACAAGAAAAGAAACAGAGATTTCACCTTCACCAGAACAACTTATACAGGTAGAATATGAATAATAGTTGTAACCTGAAGAGTACTAATTAGAAGGGAAATAAATAAATCTGGCATATGGTATGATACAGCACTAGTTTGATGCTGAACATTCTGAATTTTTTTCTCAAATGCCTGTTCATCTTGTTCATCCTGTTAATCCAGTCCAGTGAGTGGCATTGTTGATAAATAATGACCAAAAATCCCAGGAAAACAAATCAGCAGTACTTGTTCGGTGTTCCCAAAGAAAACTGAAAAACTTAATAGGCATTATGATGTTCTTCGATGTGAATCTGCCTTCTATAGCAGTAAGCAACAGACTTCTATCACAAAGGCAGTTGAATGGCTACCAGTAATTGACCTTTTTCCCTTGGAAGAGGGCGGTAAAGATTATCTACAGCAAATGTCAGTCATTTTTAATGCACTGTGGTGTGTAAGGAGAAATTTAGTATGTTGTGTCTTAACAAAGGCTTACTCCAATACTTTGATGGGTTTCAGGTTTATGAATTGACTCTGCATTACACTCAGCATCAGGACCATAATGTTGTGACTGGGGCTTTAGAATTATTACAACAGCTCTTCAGAACACCACCACCTGAACTTCTCCATGCCCTGACCGCTTCAGGTGGCATCGCACAGGTCAGTGTATCCAAAGATGAATCTGCCAGCAGGAACCGCAGTGGGAGCATAGTGGAACTTATAGGTAAGCTATATTCTTGATTATTCGAGTAAAAGGAGGTGAACATACGTCATCAGCTCTGTTTCTCAGTGTAGCTGAAAGTACAAAAGATAAAGTTAAATGTATGAAGTTACGTGTGACTAATGTTTTTTTTCCCCAGGTACAGAAAAAAGGATTTTTCCCCCTTCTTCCTTTGGCTATGTATTCATTGAGTAATGACAAACTCCACAGAGTATTTTTTTACCGTTTGTGTTGATGACTTTTTTTGGTTAGACAGAACAAATTGACTGTGGTGACAGATTTTTTTTTTTTTCTTCCATACAAAATTAACGTTCTCATCAAGTATCTGACAACTGTGTTTTATAAAAAGCTGATCTAATCAGAATTTGTGTTAACTGAGAGCTCCTTGCTGAATACCAAAACCAGCATGAAATTAAAGCATGACTTAAGTTCATCCATAACTGTTAAAATCAGCTATCGGTGTTCCTGTCTGTGAAGTGCATGTTCTTAAAATTGTCTCTTAACTGCTACTTACCTGTTTCAAAAGAATCAAGCTCTGATTGAATTTCTCTAAGGACTTCTATATTGAAATAATGGGTCATTCTAATACTGCTGCTATTAGAAGGTAATTCATTAGCCAGTAACAATCACAGCAGTGAAGCTTAGAGCATATTTTTTTAAAAGCAAACTTTGCACAAGTGGCATAGAAAAATAAAATTCATCTGATGGCAAATGATTAAAAAAAAGTTTGAACTTCAAAATCAACAAGTTTGACATTTCTTCCTGGCTTTGGGTTGTGGGTTTTTTTTCCTTCCGATTTGTGGCAATTAGAATTCCTTCATGATTTCAGCAGCTCTGTCTTTGCCCTGATGTGTTACTTTCTGTGATTTGCAGCTGGAGGGGGGTCTTCATGCAGCCCTGTTCTTGCGAGAAAGCATAAAGGTGATTATTTACAAAAACAAATCTTTAATTGCATTCCTTTCTGATTTATTTTTTGGTTGGTTTTGTTTTGTTTCATTTTTCCCCCCCTCCCCAGTTCATTGTCTTGCTGAACTTCAGTCTTCTTTCACAACTTTGTCTTATCAGCTGAGCTTAAACACTGTAAATCTTAAAAGACTGCCAGTGTGATTTCTGATGTTGCAATCAAGATAACGCTAAAATTTTTCAAAGCAGTATAATTCTTATTTTTGCTGTAGTTCATGTTAAAAAATATGCTGATGAATATTGATGCAATTTTCACTTTTAGAGAACACAGCTAAAAATAATCTCTCTGAACAGGGCATTGTTCCTTTTGATGGCAATACCTAATCTTTAATGTAACTCACAAAACAGTTAACCTGCCTGGTTTTGTTAGGCCTGTTTTTTTTCTTCTTTCACTAATGCATGTGTATGCTTTGCATGCTTTGATATGATACTTTCTTGATCCTTTTTCTGTTCTTGATGATTAATTCTAGACTTTTTGTGTCTTACTGTGTATATTTTCACTTCTTTCTTCAACAGGTAATTAATTTAGCAGGATTTAAAATAATACAATTTGCTCTGAAGTATATTTTTCCCAGTTTGTGCATGAAAATATTTTGTATCTAGCTATATGTTTACACTTTGCTTAAAACTGGTCATGTCAGTGCTAGAATAACTTTAGATACAGCTGTGTAACAGTTTCATCGCCTGTCTTACCTGAGCAAAATGTTGACACGGCTGTGGAACGATGTGCGAGTGTAATGCCGTTAGTGCAAGCACCATAAGCAGAGAGATGTGCAATACTGAAAAGAAAACTTCAAGGAGAAATAGTTGAAGACTAAATAAGATTATACAGGCTTTAAGGACTGTTAGAGCAACTAGCTTACACTTTTTCCAAATATGTCCAATATGTTCCAATATGTCTTTCTGTGCAAGGAATCTCAGAATGCTTAAAGAATATACCTATGTGCTTTAAGAGTATACCTAATGTGAAGTAGCAGTTAGAGTTGAACAAAATAGTACTTAACAGATGCAGTGATAACTTCAGAAACAGCAATGTGAAAGGTGTTCTGAAAGTAGATATTGGCTGCAGCATCCAAAGGTGAGACAGACTGCAACAAAAACCAGAATTATCCACGCGTAACATTTTTAAATGAAAAATTATAAACCGTTATTTTGATACTTTGAATCATTAGTAGTCGTTGGTGTAACTTTGTAGTATTAATCATAGTGTAAATTCAACTAAAGTACTTGTTAAATCACTAACCTTTCCTTTACTCACTGGGAAAACTTGGATAAGTCATCAGCTTTTACGATGATGTTATGAAGATTTTATGGTCTAAACCAATGGCATAGGTGAATTTGAAGAAACCTGTTCTGCGCTTTGTCCTTGTTTAGTGTCAGATAATGAGTTGTTCATTTCCTGCTGCTCTCCACTGCGGAAAGGAGGGGAAAATCAAGCCTATTCCCAGTTCCTACTTGAAGTCATTTTGCATTCTTCTGCCGTACAGGGCAGTAGCCTTCTGATGCTGGCTGTGCATGAAACTTCTCTAGCTGTAATACTGCTTTGTGTGTAGGTGTGCAAAGTGAGGCCGATCTACAGAAATCTGTGACCCTACCATAAGAACTCAGATATTCCGTGTCCTTTTGGTCTTACTTTGTTCCCATGTCCCAGTCTTACTTCAGACCAACTTTAGTTTTGAGCAGCTGGCCTATGTTGGTTTGCTTATGTTTCAGCTTCAGAAAATTACTTGCAAAAAAAGGCTGAAAACTCATTTTGAAGAGACTATGTTCTGCATCTTAACTGATTTTTTTCTCCCAGTAGTGGAAAAGCATCCTGCAGATTCTTTCATGTACTCATTTAGACTTACAGAGCCTAATGTACCTAATAAGCATTTTTCGGTGTCCTTCCTCTTAATTTCCAAGGTGATCAGCTGTGGAAAGCAGAAGAATATCCTGGTTTGTTTCAGTGAAATGGGTGTAAATGTGAGAAGGAATAGAGAAGAACAGACTATGTTTCTTGCTTTTTCTTGGGAACTCTTATCTGGATTTCACTCATTCTTTTGTAGGAGTGTGTAGTTCTCAATTACTGTTCCTTTACATAGAACGTACATGAAAGTGTCATGGTTACTTTTCTGCCTTACAGGTTTGAGTAGCATAAAACATACTTTTCAGAGGAAGCCAATTCTACTATGTTACTGCTATGAGTGAAAGCAGTTGTGATAGAGGAATTAATACAGAAGTCTGTTAATGCTGTTTTAGTCCCTGATAAATGAAATGCAGGAGAATTCACCTAGAGTTATCAAAACATTGGTATCTTGCATGGTGTATCTTAGATTAGTGGTGAAGCTGACTCTAAATGACAAACCAGGCTTGTCTCAAAGCAGTTATTGTGAATCCCTCTGTCTCAGCAAGCGACTTGCGAGATCCAGAAGGATGGGCTCAGTAGTTCCCTCTGCACTCTCTGTCCTGCCCTGTCACAGACTTTTCAGTGCAGTTGTGTCCTTGGTTGGCTCCCAGGCAGTGTTCTCTGACAGGTATCTTTCCCTTTCCACTGACTGTATTTTAAACAGGTACTACTCTGTGAGTAAGTCAAGTGAAGATTGTGTTAGGTTGTAAGTGGTTTTCATTTTTCCTGTGGCAAAAGCTACTCTGAAGATTTTTACCTTAGTGGTCCCTGGATCTTAATGGCTGTTGCCCCTGATTCGACACCTTGTCCTGCTTATGTCGTCTCATGGTTCTAGTCTGTGCTGCTCTTTCCCCCAGACATTTTCCATTCGGTTATCATTGGAGTTCCAAGCCCCAAACTGCAAGTCGCCTTTGATAATTTTTACATCCTTACTTAGGAAGTGATTATTTATTCTATTACTTGATGTGCTTTAATGTCCTCCTGAGTTGAGGGCAGAGATCCTGATGCCAAGTATCCAGTGCTTAGTAGTAGGATATACTTGATAAAATTACTGAGATCTTAAACATAGTCCACAAAAATAAACTAGAACTAATAAGGTCATAGGTAGTTTCCTGAATGTTGTTGCACTGTTAAATAAAATTACTTAACTGTATGTTTCCTTTTCACGGCGGTCTGTTTCTCTCCTGATCAGAGATAGTGAGAGGCTGGATATTCACTTTATTCCTTTCTCTTTTCCTTCTCTTGCCTGTTAGAGCTTTGAAAAATTATTTGAGTAGGCTCTTTAAAAATAGCTTTCACATCTGACTTCAGCTCTTCAGCATTTCAACTTGACTATAACTTCAGAAAGCTATAAACTTTTTTCTTCTGTTACTTCACAGGTAAAATACTTCTTGGTGAAGAAGAAGGTTTGGAGGATGACGCTGAAACCCGATCAGATGTCAGTGCTGCATCATTTGCAGGTAGCTGGCTTTTCCTTTAGCCACCCACCCAACCTATGCTGCTGTACATTACAAATCCATTCTTTTATTGCTCTGTGTAAAATATGGATGTGATATGTTATGGTAACTATTATGGTAACTATCATATGCTAACAAAACTGAAACCATAATTACTCCTAAGTATGAAACTTATGCAGTCCACTTCATGAGGTAAATATTTTTTTTGTTCTTTAATGGATAGGCTGTCATATTGATCTGTTCGATAGATGGAATGACATCTTACAGATGCTTATTCCTCTACCTGTGGTTTAACTGTTTAGGCTTAGAAAAGCATATAATACGTGACGTAGTATGTGTTGTCCCTGTCAAGAGCGAAACGTGATCGTTTAACCACTTGATTGACTCATGAATGCCTGTGTTTTGCAGCTTCTGTGAAGGGCGAGATAACCAGTGAACTAGCTGCTTCGTCAGGAGTGTCAACTGCTGGGTCAGTAGGAAGTTCAGCTGCTGATCCGACGGGACACGATATCATTACTGAGCAGCCACGTTCTCAACATACGTTGCAGTCAGACTCTGTAGAGCTGACAAGCTGTGATTTGACAAGTACAGCTACTGAAGGGGAGGAAGATGATGTGCTCAGTCGGAGCTCCAGCCAGATCAGTGCTGTCCAGTCAGATCCTGCCATGGACATGAATGATGGTACACAGGCTTCCTCCCCAGTTAGCGATAGCTCTCAGACTACTACAGAAGGTCCGGACTCTGCTGTAACCCCTTCGGACAGTTCTGAAATTGTAAGTGTGCAACGGGCAGAGGGGGGATCCCCTTCTACTGAGGGGCCCGACATATCTCAGAGCTCCTCCATGGAGGGCCCAGACTTGGAGTCATCTACTTACTCGTCTTCTACTTTTCCATCCTCAGCTAGTAACAGTGGAAAGGTCAGCAGCTCGCACCTCATTTGGAGAGCTTGACCTTTTAACACTTTCACTTCAGCAGTAATTTAAAACTACAAAGCTGTAATCAGCATGTTTGCTAGGTGGGTCTTGTGACGACATTAACAGATTGTCACTCGATCAAAGAATGTCCATATGAAAGGCTTGACATAAATATATCCTCTTAGTAGCATATCCTTCGTTCTGTATAAATGTATTAGTAATTGTTTTGGTGCAGAAGGACTAATGGAAGTGTTAAAGGGTGAACAGTCCATTTAAAATGATAGAAGAATACTTTTGGAGCCGAATGCTTCACATTTGCCTTCTGCCTCTGCTTTTTCACTTGGCAATGCAAATTTCTTTTGTATTTTATTCTTTGTTCCATCTTAAGGATTTCTCCTATACTGATCAAATACTGCATGATTTACTAATGTAGTAGTTACATGTCTAATAAACACCTGCCATGTGCATGCAATGCAGCTATTCTGAGAAATTTGTCTCTTAGGCAAGTGTATTGTGAGATTCTAATAAAACCAGAAAAAATATAATTACCAGGAGCAAGAGCAGAAAAAGCAAAAAGGAGAAAACTTAAAATTTAAGTTCTTTTTTTTTCAAATATTGTCAAACTTTTGACTTAATGTTTGCTGTTAGTAACTCTGAAAGAGGGATAATCTCATACCGCTACAAAAATGGCAATTTTACAGTTATGTTAAGCAAATAGTGTTCAGAGTGTGAGGATTCAAGAATCAAAGGAGTGATGATAGTTGCTCTGTCTCTGAATTTGGTGTAGGCAGTGCAGAGCCCAAAGTGAGCAGGCATTTATCAGCAAGTTACGTTTATTGACAGGATGCATTTCTTGCAAATTCCTGTCAGATTGTTGCGTATGTCAGTTTGCATACTGTTTATGAGCATCAATTACAGATAAAATTCTTTTTTTTTTCATAATTGACGTTAAAGAAATTGTCCCACTTATCCGCACACAGGCTTTTTAATGAACAATTTCTGGGTTCTTATAAAGTCAGGGAGTGACTTGAAGAAGTATCTTGCCTTTTGATAAACTTACCATGAAGTGTTTTTTATTTTTATCGTCTTTTGCTATCATCTTTTTTTTCCTTTTTATGGTTATTTTTGCATATAGATACTGCCTATATATTGCATTATACCAAGGGTTGAACTCTCTTCTAGAAGCAACCGTTCTAGTTGTCTCTGGTTTCGAATGAAGGAATTGAAATACGTTTAAACTTACTTGTCCTTTTTTGTCCTCAGTTTGGCTTTATGTATCCAGGACAAGTAAGTTTGTGGGAGAGTTTGACAGCAAGGGACAAGTTCAGTTTGTGACAGTACGGGTGTCGGTTGTGATTTATAACCACCGAGATGGAGGGACAGTTGTGTTTGGGCTCAGGGAGCAAGGAGAGTTGCAGAGGAGGCACCACACAGCATATTCAACTTCACTGTTGATATCCAAGTTCCTGGCTCAGGTGGGAAACTTGTCAGGTGTGACCGTGGCCTCCGATAGCCCAAGTGCTGGAAGAAGAGAGGAGCTGTTTTGGGGCCTGCATGCAGCTGCATGCTAATATTTATCAGGCTCATACTTGCTTTCCGATTGTTTCTAGATGACTAACACTGCATGTCTAAGACTTGATACTGTGTGTTAAGCAAAAGTATTTAAAGTCTCGTTCTCGCACTGCATAGGTTTTGGAGGGTTGTGAAGGACAGTATTCTGGAATGCAAATTGGGCAGCTGCAGGATGAGGAAGATGAGGCTGCAAATATTCTACAAGATGATTCATCAGAGTCTTTCAGAAGTTCTTCTCTTGGTACGTTGATAAATGGAGGGGAGGGACACCGAACTGGTATGACACCTTCAAGGCAGGTGTTACAGGTGTGTCTCTTCTCTAACTTCCCTGGGATTGAAGACTCATGTAATGAGATATGAAAAACAAACAACTAGATGGATATGTAAAATAAGGAGTGTATTTCAACACTTCTAATGAATCACTTGTTTTGATCACTGCTCATTTTTCATGTTTGTATAATTAAGTTCGATTGAAGTGCTTTTAATTTGCATCTGAAATGGTATTTAATGAATTGCCTTTTTCTGAAGCTCTTCAACAGCCTCACCTGTTGAAAACCATAAGCCATAGTAGGCAGCCTTCTGATAGCAGCGTAGATAGATTTACGTCAAAGGAAGATGCAACAGATCCCAGCGATCAAGAAAATAAGGTGAGTAGTAGTCACAGTAATCTAGCTTAAAGTTTAAAACAACTAATTTAAAAAAGGAAATAAATTGTGATTATGGTCGTGTAAATTGGTGGTAAATGTGGGTAGCCTGTATGTGTAGTGTACATCACTATAGGTCAGAATACCCAAATTTGAATAGTAAATCTGGGCTATAGCCTGAACATTTAGCCTGAACCATAAAAACATGAACTGCTGAGAACAAGAGCTCGCTTTTGCCTGTGCGTTGGCAGGGCACGCTACTGCTTTATTACCTGAAATACCTTTGTGCTGGTTGCTAGCCGTGTTGGTAATTTTATGATCTCCTCAGTAGTTCATCTTACTCTTTGAGCCTTTCCTTCAGCAGAAAAGCCTGTGCCGTTCTAACCACGGTTCCTTTTATGGTTCTTTGACCTTGTTCTGAGCTGGGGCAAAGGGAGTTTTGTTTGTTGCAGGTGGAGGTAGTTCAGCTTGGGCTACCAGGGAACTCTAAATGTGAAACTGCAGAAGATTGTCAGCCTTCTTTGGAAACAACTTAGGAATTTATTGCTTTTCCATACAAAGTTGTCAAAGATAATTTTTTTGTGGAAAAAAAGAGTGGTTTATCAGACTCCTTCAGATGCAAACAGCAAGTCTAGATAATTCAGAAAATCTGCAGAATGATTGTTGCTTCTGTGATAAAGTTAAACCAGTTCAGATACTAGATACAAACTTCTCCAATTCGTTGTGGGTTTTTTTTTTTGGAATATGTATTAAACACATTTTGCATTACAACCTTTATACAATTGGGGATGCACAGTATTTCTGAGTCATGTTGTGCCTAATATTTTATTTAAATTGAAAATTAATTGCTCTCCATATAAAAGTTGTGATTTGCTTTTGATAGCCCTCCAGGGTAAAGGGAGACATAGGTCACTATACAGATGGAAATTCTGCTCCTTTAGTGCACTGCGTTAGACTTCTGTCAGCCTCTTTTCTACTTACTGGGGAGAAAGGAGGTAAGTTTCTGTTCAAGATTCATTGGTTCATTGTGTCTGTCAATGTATGAAGTTGAAAATGTGATCAGTTTACTCTGGTTTATGATCTCATTTTATTGGAGATTTTGGGGGTTGGGTTTTTCTGCGTTTTTAGATGATCACACTAGAATGCACAAAAACCTAAAAACCCGTGAAAACTTATGCCTTCTTGCAATTAATCCTGGTTTGAACCATTAGGCATCTAAAGGAAGTGTTATGGTAACTTTAACTGTAAGTCAAATACTTAAGAATTTTCAAATAGTAAATGTAATGAGACTTAAGCTGTGGAGCCATGGTGGTTTTTAGATCGTATGAAGCTGCACAAGACCGTCTAATGTCAGTATTTGTTCTTTGCTTACAGTGCCTAATTTGTTTTAATTAAAAGAGGATTAAAGGTATCTTTTTTTAGCTTAACCACTCAGTTGTGTTTAAATTCCATGTTAATTTCTTCTAATATACTTCAGGTAGAGGAAGAGTTGTACCCATTTGTGTTTGGGAAATGTAACTTTATATTTTAAATGATTCAGCTGTGGTAAAGCAAAGAACTGACCTAAGGTTTTCAAACCTAGCTGAAAGCTCCATTTGAACTTTATTCTCCACTTTTAACATCTTATAGAATTTGCATCAGTTAATGTGGGCATTTTTCATGTGTTCTTTCATGTGTAATGGTCAAAGAGAAACATTGACAGTAAGTGATTGTTAGAGAGGGCTGTTAGGACTCAACAGAGGAGTTACTTACTTTTTTAGCATTATAATAAAATATTAGTAGGGATTTTCTAGAAGGCTTTTAGGGCATACACCGCTTTTTTTTGTATGTGTGTGTCATTAGGTGTGACTGAAGTGAGCATTTAAGATGTTCGTTCTTTGCCCTTTTTCTAAACTGTTATTTGTTCATGTGCCCTGCTAATGTGTTCTTGGAAAGCCGGTGTAGTAGCTGTGTTCTCAGCAATGAAGGAAGTGGGTTGGAAGTGTGGGGGATTATTGGTTGTGGGTTTTTTTCTTTTTTTTGAAGCAACAAGAGCCGCGTATCACTGCTGCTGCTGATAAACTGGAACTACTTGTTCTGCCTTTGCATTATTTTTATCCAGGCTAAGATATTTATATTATAAAGATATCAGTTAACTTAAAAACAATTCAGGAAGCTTTTAAATCTACTCCCCTTTTTTTTCTTCTTCTCTTCAGCTTTAGTTCCTGATAGAGATGTGAGAGTGAGCGTGAAAGCCCTGGCAGTGAGTTGTGTTGGAGCAGCTGTTGCACTTCACCCAGAGTCTTTCTTCAGCAAGCTGTATAAAACACCCCTTGAAGCAATGGGAGAAGAATATGGTGTGTTGCAATTCACTCCATTTTAGCTTGGGTTTTCAAATAAGTGAGGCAGCTCTATACTGAAAACTCTAAATCCTGTTCAGTATTTGCAAGCAAGTATTGCACCAATTGGAGTGAATGTGCTCTCTGCACTGGTAGCGCACATGGTGAGATTTTATGGGATTTTTTTGGTAATAACGTTTAAGTTTGAGTGACAAGCTGGATCTGTTTTAGTACAACTGCTCTATAGAAGTGGTCTGTTTCTCTTATAAATGGTTTCTTCTAATACATTTCAGGCTATCTTATAGATGGTTTCTAAGCCATTAGGTTCGTTCTTACAAATGATGCAGTACGATCAGCAGAGACCTGAAGCATTTGACTGGTTTGACGCTAATAGTGTCAAAGGTGGAGCGCTGACCTAAACTCTTAGATTTCACCAGAACATTTTGACTACAATTGAAATACATCCCTGGTGTTTCTGTATGTGATCACTGGTCTGGATAGTGTGAATGTTCTGTAGATCACATGCAGGGGATCTCTGAAAGATAGAATTGAGGTGAGCGTTTTGTGATTGTGCTCACATTGATTGTATAATAATTGGTACTGCCACTGAAACATTTTAGGAATCATTTAAGTCTAAGACTAGTGTTTTTAAAAATAAAATAGTTTTAACTTATTTTCTTAGAGGAGCAGTATGTATCAGATATTCTGAACTACATTGACCATGGAGATCCCCAGATTAGAGGAGCTACTGCCATTCTGTGTGGAACAATTGTCAACTCCATTCTAATTAAATCCCGTTTTGATGTGGAGAAATGGCTAATAAATGTCAGAAGCTCAACAGGTAATAATTTATTTTAAGGGTCTCAGGGTTTTTTTATGGGACCAAAATTTTCTTTTCTTTCATTTATCTAAGTTGATTTTTTTGTTTTGTTTTTTTTTGGGTTAGGAAATCTCTTTTCCTTGGTAGACTGCATACCTCTGTTACAGAGAACACTGAAAGATGAGTCCTCTGTTACCTGCAAACTGGCCTGTACAGCTGTGAGGGTAAGCAGAAATAGTAATTTATTTTTACCCCCACAGATCACAGGGCTGTGATCCTTCTATGCTCAGGTCTGCAAACACCGAGCAAAAAATGCCTTCTTCCCCAAGGACTTTATTGGATGAAACATGGATTCAGGCACAGAGATGGAGGAGCAAAGAGCTGCAAAATAGCTGTGTTGGCTAGATCGTATAGGAGTATAATCTAGTAATGATGTTTTTAGTCATAAATGTACTGGTATGGCTGTAATATTACATTAACCAACAGCAGGATGAGGGATACCTAGTGTAAATGAGGAAGTGTGGACATGTAACAGCTGGTTATAACCTGTACTGGGAGAGCAAAATTTAAATGTAAGAAATGACAAGTAAAATAGTGATTATCTTCTGAAATACTTCTTTTTAAGTGAGGGAAGTCTAAAGAAAATGTACATTTCAAATTGGGTGAAAGAGATCCGTCAGGCAATGGTTTAAATAGAGGTGATAGCTGAATTTGAGAGTGGAACTTAAGTGTGTGTGAATCTTATTTCTGTATGAAAATCTGTGGAAGGTGTTTTGTGAGAAAGCAGGTGGGTGAAGGAGTGAGATTTTCCTATAGGATTTTTCAAAGAAAGTAGAAGAGCAAGGATGAATTGGAGGCCAAGGAAAATTAATTCATTTAGGAGAGGCACAGTGTGGCTGACTGCATGGCAGCTTCGGGGACAGTGAGGCAAAGTGTAGCCTTTAGTAAAATGCAAATAGTCAATGTGTGGAAAATACAATTTCATATGCTAAGAGGATGGGTCTGTGATGCAGCTGAGGGAAGGAAATCCAGTCAGTTAAATGATGCCCGTGTTTAAACCTGTTCTGTGGCCTTATTGTTTGTATGTAGTGGTTTCCTGTATGATTACTTAGATTTATGGCGTTTTAGAAGACTTCACTAGAATGGTTCAGGCATCTAATACTAGGCAATTCTGACTTTTTCTTTCTCTCAGTATATAATGCAGCTTGACTTCATACCTTCTGGCAGAAACGTTTTAAGGTGGTTTGGGTTGTTAATCCCCAAACCAGAAGGTACATTTTCATTAGTTAGAACTCTGCACTTCTGTGCCTTATTTATAACTTTTTCCAAAGATCACACATTGTGCGTACAGTTGAATAGACGTTAGAATGAGGAGGTATGACTTTTTCAAAAACTTTGGACATCAGACCCAGGTGTCTAGAAATACCTTGTGGAAATTAGGAGAGACTGTTTTTGGATAGATGCTTTGAATATAGTGCTTGTGGTGGTTAAGCCTTGTGAGTTTTAGACCTCGCTCTTAGGAGAATTGTCCTCTGGTCTCTGAGGCTTGTGTTCCTCCCCAGAGTTTACATTCAGCAGCAGATTTTAGCAGTTCACATGGAGATAGTCCTAGCCTTGCAAAATCTAGCTCCGGTACTGTCTTTGAGCTCTTAAACAGTAACTTTTTTAGTATTCTAAATAAAGCAGATTTTTATGATTGTTTACATACTGTGATTCAGAACACCTCTTATGTGATATAACTGAAAGTTGTTTTTTCTTCTCAGCATTGTATCATGAGCTTATGTAGCAGCAGTTACAGTGAACTAGGTTTACAATTAATTGTTGACCTCCTTACACTGAAGAACAGTTCCTATTGGCTAGTAAGGACAGAACTTCTGGAAACACTTGCTGAAGTAGATTTTCGGTAAGTTTTTACATTTGTCCATGGATGTTGTAGCTGCAGTGCAAAGATGCTGCGTACAGGGAACTGGAACATAATGGAGCAGTGTCTTCTGAGACATGACTGAGTTTTATGAAGCTAATTGAGGCCAATCATTCCTGTAAGGAATGTGTGAATCCCTTTGTCAGGTTAGCATTGACTTCAAGCCTAGTCGTAGTACCACTGTACAGGAGTTTCAAGTTTGTAGTCTATTTTTTCAAGACTTTTGTAAATCTGTGATCAGAAAGAGACCATATAATCTGGAAACGAACTTGGATTTAGTGTCCAGTTTTGTGTGTGTTTAACGAAAAAGTCCCTGACTTGTTATCCAGTATTCTGTGCTCCCTTCTGTTGCTCAGTTTCTGTTCTACTGAAGTGATCAAGACTTTACTTCCTTTCGTTGCATTCCCTCGTTCTCTGCGGGTTGTCCAAGTTGAAAGACAAAAGCTCTTCAAGTTATCTTTAGTAATGGAAAATTGGTCTTTTTCTTAATAGTGGTATTTGGAACCTGTTGTGCCAAAACAGTCTGATTTTTCTTTGCGGGGCAGGACGGGGGAATAACAATCACAGTGTGTAAATTAATGTTTTTTAACTAAAAAAAAATATTTTATTCTGTTACACTAGGTGGATAGAAGATTAGCAGATAGTTTACCTTTTCAAAAGGTAGCAAAAAGTGTGTTTACCACAATTTCCCTGCAGTGGTGTTTTTTAAAAATAAAAAATAAAAACCCTCAGAGCACTGAAGGGAGAAGTAAAAATTACTGTTAACTAACAAATTCTAAATTCTGTTTTACCGTAGGCTAGTCAGCTTCTTGGAAGGAAAAACTGAAAGCTTGCACAGAGGTATTCATCATTATACTGGTGTAAGTAAATTTATCAACATATTGTGTTTCTGTTTCAGAATTAAGGTAGCAGGGCAATTTCTACCATTGCTGATAGTTGTATGTTCTGTGTAAGTAAGCTCGTGCTCGGAGACTTGTTACAGTTGGAAAGATACTTTCCCACTGAGTTTCAAATACCTTAGCGTTCTCTGGTGGGTGGATGTGGGGGTGTTCTGTTTTGGTTTTTTAAACTTCAGAAAAATGTTGACATTTAGGTGTTTGGCAATGTTAGAGTTAATGTATTACAGACTTGTGTGGCAGATGAAATCTCACCTGTTAACTTCTAACAATCCGGCCAAATAATGAACTTTATAATGCTAACTTATTTTTTAGCTGCTAAAACTTCAGGAGAGGGTGCTTAATAATGTTGTGATATGTCTGCTTGGAGATGAAGATCCGAGAGTGAGACATGTAGCTGCAGCTTCGTTAATGAGGTATACATGCACTTTATTTTTTTTCTTATTAAAAAATGTATTTTAGAAAGATAGATGTACCTGTAACTAAAATAATCCCTTATTGGGTTTTTATATTGTTGTTTAAATGAGGAAGACGATTCAAATGTAGCTTTATGGATGATGCCTGGAACATGTGCTGTTCTGAATGATCAGGCAACTGTGTTTTGCTTTTTATTAGCATTACAATACAGTTAAATGTAATTACATTCTGACGGTCACTTTCAGTTTCAACTACAAGTTAGTTTTCTGTGTGATGGAGTGATTTGTTCAGTATCCTGACAGTAGTTGATGGACTTAAAATGTTGCAGTTCTACCAAGTTGTCTGAACTCCTAAACATTGCAGTTTCCACATGGTTAGAAGTAGTATGTCTTAAAACTGTCATGCTCACCGATGCAGTAAAGGAGCTAATCTTGTTTGAAAAGCAACTGTTTGCTGTAACCTGCTGCAGTTACAATTGCAAATGCACCAAATAGTAAAGATTAGTTGTTATTTATTTGTTAGAATTCAAGGACTTCAGTTTTATGTTTAAAGAAGGTGGGAGCATCTGATACCGAATTCCTGGAACGTTTTATTGTCAAGGAGTCTCTTTCCTATGTTTCTCAGACTATTAATTGCTGTCCATTCTTAACAACAAATAAAGCACAACGAAACCGTAGAAGTTCTGCCACTTAAAAGCATTAGTTAGAATTTGTTCCTTTTATTCAGGGACTTGATTTTGAAATGGAATATTTTGTTAACTGGGTGGGTAGCAAGTCAGAGTTTTTCTGTATCAAGTGTGTTAAGGTTGGAAAAGACAAGCGCCGAAGAAAGCTGCCTTGGGCTTGCAGTGGCCACTTGAAACATCCAGTATGGGTATTCAGTGGAAGTACTGTCAGTGAAACTACAAAACTGTAGTTTCTCACTGTTGTCCAAATTGAAAACGTTGTTCAGGAAGACTGGATTTTATTGTATGTTCAAGTTTTACTGCATAGAAATCGGATAGTGAAAAGTTGTCTTCAAGGTAGAAAGTAATTTTCATTTGACACAGACATCCATGGGGAGAATATCTGGGGAGATGCGGGAACACGGAGAGAAATACTCTAGTGAGGTGGTTGCTGTAGTGTGTATCAGTAGGGTATCTATATAAAACATATTTTACCTTAAGTACCCTGTGTCTAGAGCAGTTCCTTTGTCCTGATTTGAGCTCCTTGATTGTAATGAAAAGATGTTTTATAAAGATTAATTCACCTTAATGAGTTTTAGTGACAGCTTTTATTTACAATTTTAGAAAGCTGCATACACTCACTACATTTATAAAATGTGTATTAAATGTATTTTAAATATACTTTAAATTGTATATCAAATAACTTCTGAATAATGCTTTTCCTTTTTGACCATTGCTGTTAAGGCTTGTTCCAAAGCTATTTTATAACTGTGATCAAGGACAGGCTGATCCAGTGGTGGCAGTAGCAAGAGACCAAAGCAGTGTCTACCTGAAACTACTAATGCATGAAACACAGCCTCCATCTCACTTTGCAGTGAGCACCATCACCAGGTATGTTATGTGTCTTGTCCTGCTTTTAAAGGAACATGGACCCAAATTTTGGTTTGTAATGCCTAGAAGCGTAGTTAAATCCTGCAAATCCACGTGCTTATGAGTTGTTTCTCAATCTGTAAGAGCACGTGTAGTAGTTTTAGACTCATGTTTAAAGAATAAACTGATCTGCGAGTTGCTGGTGATGTGCTCCCATGTTGGTTGTAGGGAGTCATTGTTCTGTGATAAACTTTGTCTTCTCTTCATCCTGAGGTCACCTTACTTGTCCCTTAAATTTCACAAGTGAGTGCAGCTTTGCAAGCTAATCTTATGTATGCATTATTGGTCTTCAGGTATCTTGGTCAAAATTTGTAACTCTTCGCATCCTGTTTAATGATTGTGGTTGTAGAAGTCTGTACTACCTGCATAAATTGAAAATAAAATCTAATTTTGATAGTCATCATAGAAATCATTACGGTTGGAAAATACCTCCAAGATCATGTAGTCCACCTGTCAACCCAACACTACCACGACCACTAAAATAATTTTTTACAGCAGTAGTCCAAAGTTTGTGAACATCAAAAAGTGTTAGATGGATTTGAGCAAAAGCAAAGACTGATGTCAAATTGGTGGTGTTTTCTAGAGTACCTGATCAGGTATTGAGAGTTGGTCTTCTGTTTCAGTTTGCTAACAAAGAGATTTGATTTATAAACTAAGTTGCTTTGGCTAGCACAGAAGCAAAAATACTATGATATAAGGTGATATTTAGAGTGTTCTCAGATTTTGTGTTTTGTAAGCAGTGTGTAAATATGTAATAGTAATTTAAGCCATAGTCGTTTTAAATTGAGGTGTTTCTCTTAATAAGTACCTGTTATAATAGTATAAATATTTTTATTTCAGAACATATAGGGGTTATAATATGCTGCAAAGTCCAACAGATGTCACTATGGAAAACAATCTCTCAAGGGTTATTGCAGCAATTTCCCATGCACTGACAATATCCACTACAAGAGCACTTACGGTGAGTTTTCTTAGTTGCAGGAGTGGCTCACTTTTCTTATTTAATTTTTATTTCCTGACTATATTTGTATCTGCAGTTTTGGTACTCTGCCATTGACAATATTAGTATGTTCTCACTCTTAAGATACTTTGTCGTTGCTAACTCTTCCAGCGATGAAGCTGATTCGGTTCTTGGTGTTGACTTTTCAGTTTGGCTGCTGTGAAGCTTTGTGTCTTCTCTCCACAACATTTCCAGTCTGCACCTGGAGCGTGGGATGGCACTGTGGGTATGTTCCCTCATCTGCCATTCAAGCATCTCAAAGTCATGTTTGCAAAACGCAAGTACGCTTATTTAGGTATTGCTAGTCCTGGTTTAGATACCTTCTGATAGGCTTTTCTGTGCAAGGATCTGAGATGACTGCTAAGGTGAATGTGACATCAAGTTGTCATGATCCCAAATGTCAGCACTTTGCCATCTTTGGAACTGCCGTGTGTATAACAGGGAATGGCTGCAACTGCTGCGTCAGAAAGATACACGTGGTCATTATCGGTCAAAAGAAGTAGTAGGAGAAAGTTTTCTGTGCTTTTGAAAGAATGTTTGTCTTCAGGGTATGGTGTCTTGTAGTAGCTCTTTAAAATTAGATTGTTATCTCATGTTTGGATTGAAAACCCGTGGGTAAAGGAAGTTGGTTCCTGATTGCTTTTGTGTCTATAAAAGTGTCAGATGCATTTCAGTTGCTCTCGTTTGGCTGCTGAAGGGGATCAGCAAATGAGATCTATAATACTTAAGTGTTATGTAGGCAATATATGATTAAAACAATAATGATATATATGAAGCTCTTCAGAATGCAGCTGTAGAGTTGGCAACTCTGAAGCTTTGATTTTGCCTCTGATTATCAGCGTGCTGTGCCATGTGAGCTGTAAAACTAACACATGTGGCGCTCTTTGGTTTTTAAATGAGTTTAGCATCAATTATACTGATTCTTCTTCATCGCTGTCATTGTCTCTCTACTCTTATTTTACTCTCCTGAAATCCTGAAACTCTGTTCCAAAATTTTATCTTACTTTAAAAACGAGATCCAACAAGAACTAAATAATAACACCCCCCTCTGCTGCTTTTCTTGGTGGCATGCCCTTTCTTTCTTCCCTTGCCAGCCATAAGTGTGGTGTGCTCTGTCTGTGCCTTCTAGAAGATGTCTTTTGAACTGTAGGTCCAGTTTTACCAAATGAGATATGTTAGGATATGAGCAGTACTTAGCTGCAAAGTAAAATCAATGCAGAATCAAAACAGTGTGTCTTCTCTGAAAATTTCTATTTTTAAGATGCATCACTTATCAGTGTTGCAATGACATAGCCTTTGTCCTTTCCTCTAATTCCTACTTCACAAATTTTTGGCCCCGTTAATATGAATTTAGGTTGTAACTATATTTTTTATGGAATGATACGAACATTCATCATTCTGGGTGATAATGCAGTAACAGGATTTTGCCGAAGTTCTTTTCTATCAAGAATTGTTGTTCTTAAAATTAAAAAGCTGTTGGAACTGCTACATTCCAACTCTGTACAGGTCAATATGGATTAATTCATGAATTTCTAACTGTGTGTAAAGTAAATGACACTTGTGTATGAAAATACTTTTTTTTTAAAAAAAAAAAAGGGAAGGCACTGTAATTACCTGTGTAGCTAGACTTATCTGGAATTAAGGCACTTTCTCCCAGACTTCAGTTCTAACAGCAAGGCAACCATCTTGGTTAAATCATTGCAAGAGTGCTTGTCCTTCGCAAACTAACCTTTCTTACATCATTCGATGTGAGATAATTGTGTAAAATTACTTAATTACCTACAAAGCATTGTTCACACATGGAAACATCAAGAAAGTTTCCAGGACGATGTGCAACTGGTGTGCAGAGAGCTCTCCCCACAAAGGTTTCTCAGGTACCTTTAAGGGCTGGTAGCGTTAAGGGAGCTTGATGTTCTGACTCTTAAGAGAAAATGCCACAGAGCATGACATGGAGTGGAGATACTGTGTGCACAAAGGAACCTGGAGACATCAAGGAACCAGTTAAATGCACATTTACTACCCTAGGCCAAGAGTCTGTCATCTTTTGATAGATACTGTCCTTTGGGTGAACTGATTATGTTGTTATAATAATCTCATTATAATACCAAAACACACCTCCATCCCAAAAGCTACCTGCCTCCAAGGTGTGACCACCCGTTGCTGAGTTCGCGCCCTGAATTTTTCTAGTCTATACCTAAACGCAAAGCGAGGAAAGTTTACACCAATCACAGTAAAGATAAACATGACTAGAGTCACTCAAGCTCCTCCTGAAAGGTAACAAATAATATAAAATGGCCCAGAGAGGGGAAGCTTTAGGGAAGATACCACCACACTCAGGGAAGACATCACCACCAAGTACCTCTGGCTTCGGGGATCAGTCGAGCTGAGCCTCTCTTTTCCCCCTTAGGGGTGCCTTTGGGTAGGATTTGAACACTCGGCTATACCAGATGCTTTCCTGGGATATTTAGAAAACCTTTACAGAATTGCTTTATAATTTAACATACTTGTAGCCAGGCTGTGTCTTCACCACTTTTGCACATGCTTTGTGGTCAGTCACTGCCACCGGCAGTCAAAACGGCAGTGGTCCGAACTGCCAGCGCTGAATTGGGCATTAATCAGAACCTAAGCCAAGCCTCTCTGATACCTGAGGACAAGCTGAACACAAGAGGGTTTATTTTCTGCTAAACTGATTTGCCCTCTCGTTTGATGTAACAACTTAATGAAAGTTTTATTTTCTGAAATTCCCCTAGTTTTATTGGACTAAAGTAATTATATTAGATTATTCTTTTAAATTGAAAAAAATCCTGAAAAAAATCCCTTTATTTAGAGGTTGCATGGAGTCTTGTCCTGAAAGGAAGTTACCAATATTGTGCAGATCTTACAGGTTTGAAGTGTGTGTAATTCACAGAGTATTCTGACAAGTACCTTTTGATACTTTTTGAAACTTGTTTGGAAAAATCAGATTTAAAAATTATTGTAAAAAGAACATGGAATGCAGCAGAAAATTACATTCTTGGTTAGAGTCCACCCATAAATCTAGTTGATTTTTGATGGTTTACAGTTGTTTAATTCTTGTCACTTTAAAACAGTATCTTGTTGCATTGCAGTACTACAGCTTATGTCTCCCATTCCTGCCTTGCATATGCATGAGACTTTTAACTGGACAGATAGTTCAGGACCGTATGAGTTAGCAATTAAATTTCTTCAGTGTATCAGTAGATGTCACTAGCAGCTTTCATATTTGCTACTTAAAAAAAACCCATAAAGTAACGGCTCTTCAAAAAAACAAAGAATCGTCAGGTCTCTGCTGCAAATTGTGTAAAGTCCTATTTGAGTATTAAGTGTGTATTTCTGTAGTATTGATTAATTTATTTTCTCTTGGTTGGATTAGCAGTCTGTTAATTTTTCTTAAGACTTTAAGCTTACCAAAAGGGGGAAAAAAATGTCATGACACTCTAAAATTAAACTTACAGTGTTTCCCAGCCAAGTTCTTCAGATGAAGCTCAGAAGGGCTGCACCATTGGAATGGCCGGCATGGTCCTGTCCCTCCTTTCGTCGACGTGGTTCCCACTGGACCTCTCTGCACATCAGGATGCTTTGATTTTGACAGGAAACTTGCTTGCAGGTAAGGCAGAACAAGAAAAGTAACATTGTCCAGACATCTTTACCGTTAGCATCAGAAGGTCGAGCTCTCACTGTTCTGTTTGCAAGCCACAAAATTTTGTGCAGGATTGAGCAGAAGAAATAAAGAAGGAACTTCTTGCACCCAGGAGATCTGAAAAGATACTGCCCCCAAGCTGCAGATTTCTTCTAATTGCCAAAGCAAATATGCAGGGTGCTTACTACAAGCCAAGTACAAAGAACATTTTTACATTTTAACCATTTTATTTTTTCTTAACATTAATGTGTTTTTGTTGCTGTTTAAAAATATGCACTTACTACTGGTTTGGAAAATACAAGCTCTCTTTTTCTATTTGAACTTCTGTTCAGATGGAGGTGATAACTATATATGCCTCTAAAATCTTCTAGTAGTGAATTCCAGCTTTTTATCATCCTTTTCTTTAATTAATGTGATTCCTGTTGCAGCAAGTGCTCCCAAGTGCTTAAAGAATCCTTGGAGTGCAGAAGATGATTCAAACCAAGGTGCTGCAAAGCAGGAGGAACCATGGCCAGCTCTGGCAGATCGAACTCTTGTTACCTTAGTAGAACAGCTCTTTTCTCATCTCCTGAAGGTCATTAATATTTGTGCACATGTAATGGATGATGTTGCTCCTGGCCCAGCAGTAAAGGTATGTATTTAAAAAAAAAAGTGAATAAAATTGTGTGACTTAAATACTGTTATGATACAGACCTGTTGTAATGCCTGGATAACGTGACTCCAGTATGGGTAGGAGAACAAGTAAAATGAACAGAACATGCATACCATTCTTCCATATAATAGGTTTTTCTTTAGTTCTGCAGTGTTTGGAATATTGTCTTAAATTTTGGACTTTTTAGTCCTGGTGACTTCACTTAGAACATTAATTTACTGAGGAGTATATATCGTAAATGGTGTATTGGATACACTGGCAAACGTCTCTTGACTCTTGAATTGGCTGGCTGGCTGTAATGCACTGAGCTCTGTTGGGGGCTAAAAATAACTCTTCTATCTTTTGAATATCCTGCAAAATACTGTGACTTCTGAAACAGCTCAGATGAAAACTTTCAGATTTGGGTTTTTGTTTTACTTTGGGATTTTTTTTGAGGCATCTACATTTTGAGAGTGATTTAGTGACTATAAGGCCGTGTTATTAGGATTAGTGACTTCTTTATATTTTAAAAATGTGAGAATATTTTTTGACACTCCTTTGTCTGGAATCAAAAGCAACTTTAGTCATTGTACTCTAATTCCATCTCATTGACGTGTACTGAAGTTCAGAAGGAAAGTAGGGAATATATTAAATTTTCTTCATTTTTGCCCAGGAAATTAACATCCTGAGTTGAGACATTTTAATTTAACTGACAGTCAAATAAAGGAGAGTTTAAAGAAATGTGCTTGTATTTGTGTAGAAGCAGCAAAACTACTTGTGCATACAAATTTAATAAAGCTTCTTTTCATTCTAGGCAGCATTACCTTCTCTCACAAACCCCCCTTCTCTTAGTCCGATTCGGAGGAAAGGGAGAGAGAGGGAGTCTGTCGAACAGGCATCTGTGCCGATGAGCCCAAAAAAGGGTGGTGAAACAAGTCCAGGTAGGCACACTAACTCTGATTTAACCCTGCTTACCTAAGTATGGTTACAGCATAGAGAGAAGAAATAAAACTGAGTCACTTGGTTTCTAAAGTTCTAGTTCAAAAAGCTGGCAGACCTACCAGCAGGAGTTCTTTTCAGTACTGCGCTGCAGGAAAGGCACCTGTGGGTGGGGGCTTCTTTACTGTTTTGGTTTTTATGAAAATTAATTGTACTTTTCGGAAGCAAGGTACTTCTGAATGCTTCTCCTCAATGTTTTCTTGAATCTGCTCAGCTAGTGACTGAAATTAAGAAGTAATTTTTTGCATGTATTTGACTTAAAAGAAGTTTTAAGTTTTTATTTATAAATACATTAACAGTAAGAGGAGGTCTAGGGAGAATCTTCATCCGTTGTTGGATGCAGAGGGAAGAGCAGTGACCACTGATATGGAAAAAGCTGAGGTGCTTAATGCCTTCTTTGCCTCAGTCTTTAACAGCAAGACCGGTTTCTCTCTGGGCACACAGCCCTCTGAGCTGGAAGAAAGGGATAAGGAACAGAATAGGACCTGCATAATCCATGAGGAAATGGTTATGGACCTGCTTCATAAGCTGAATCCTCATAAATCTATGGGGCCTGATGGATTACACCCTAGAGTGCCGAGGGAGCTGGCAGATGTGGTTGCCAAGCCACTCTCCATCATCTTTCAGCAGTCCTGGTTAACTAGGGATGTCCCAGTGGACTGGAGGCTGGCAAATGTAGCGCCCATCTTCAAGAAGTGTAGGAAGGAGGATCCTGGTAGCTACAGACCTGTCAGTCTTACCTCAGTGCCGGGAAAGGTGATGGAACAAATCTCAAGAGCCATCACAGAACAGTTAAAAGCCAACAGGGAGATCAGGCCCAGTCAGTGAGGATTCATGAAGGGCAGATCCTGCTTGACCAATCTAATCTCATTCTATAACAGGGTGACCTGCTTAGTGGATAAGGGAAAGGCTGT